TTTGCACTGAATCGAAGTTATTGCTACAATGACGATAATGACAACAGGGAATTGACAATAATTTTACTGATGCAGAGTGATTGTTATTGATATTACTGCTCGTATTGTTGTTGAAGACCTCGTTACCGATATTGTTAGTGGCGTTTGGCAATGGTGATGGCTATGGTGTCGTATAGTGATAGTGAGGGAGATGGGAGGAGGAGGATGTGGATGAGGAGGATGTGGATGAGGAGGATGTGGATGAGGAGGATGAGGATGAGGATGAGGTAAAAGAGGAGGATGAGGATGAGGTAAAAGAGGAGGATGAGGTAAAAGAGGAGGAGGATGAGGATGTGGATGAGGATATGGTGATGGTGAAGATGAAGAGGGAGATGGCGAGGGAGGTGAAGATAATCCTGTAGATGGGAGGTGCTTATGGTGAATGAATGAGATAGTGAGGTAGGTGAATGATGAATGAGGGGGATTGTGAGGCTAGTTCTGATGATAGTGATAGTAAATGATATTAGTTAAAGGTGATTATCATAGTGACTGTGAATTATATAGTTAGAATATGGTGATTTAATTGATAGTTCTGGGATTTGATAAGAAAGTGATGATATTTCATATAGCAGACGAAAGTAATAGTTGACTTAAGAGATTGGTGACTGATTGATGAATATAGCGATGCAGTAATAGTAGTAATATTAGTATTTTCGCCTTTATACACTAAAAGGGACACCTCATTAGTTATTTGACACCGTGAATTGCCGTTAATAGCCATGAAGATAAAAGCAATACCATGCATGAAGATACAAGAATATTAGAATTAACTCCTACATTAAAACAACATAAAATAGCACAATGTACCCCCCCCCCCCCTGCACTTACAGATGGTTGGAGAGCAGCAAGATCTGGGCAGGAGGGCTGGTCGTGGGCGAGGTGTGCAACGAGCCCTCCCACTGGTCCTCCGTCAGCACCCTCCACCAGTGGCTCCTCGGCGAAGGCGTGCCCGGAATCCATGGCATCGATACCCGCTCGCTCACCAAGAAGTAAGGTCGCGGATGGGGGGCCCCTGGTGGGGGTTGTCCGCCGTTTGGGGTTTTGTTCATGCCGGTGGGGTGGTGGTGGTGGTCGTCGTCGTCTTCTTTTTCTCCTTTCCTTTTTCTTCTTCTGCTCTTCTGCCCGGAATCCATGCATCGATACCGCTCGCTCACCAAGAAGTAAGGTCGCGGATGGGGGGCCCCTGGTGGGGGTTGTCCGCCGTTTGGGGTTTTGTTCATGCCGGTGGGGTGGTGGTGGTGGTCGTCGTCGTCTTCTTTTTCTCCTTTCCTTTTTCTTCTTCTTCTTCTCCTTCTTCTTCTTTTTCTTTTTCTTTTTCTTTTTCTTTTTCTTCTTTATCTTCTTTTTCTTTTTCTTCTTTTTCTTTTTCTTCTTTTTCTTTTTCTTCTTCTTCTATTTCTTCTTCTTCTTCATCCATGATGGGCAGTCACGATGGGCCGTCGTGATGGGCAGTCAGTCATGATCTTAACTAATTTTCTGTTGACATCATCGTAATCATAATTATCACCGTTGCCTTTGAGTAATAGTAATCATCAGTACCACTTCAATTCTGATTAATAGCATCATTATCGTCATCATTACCGTCATTACTCTCTCTGCAGGATTCGCGAGCATGGATCCTTGCTCGGGAAAATCGTGGTCGAAGGAGGCGAAGATCCTCCTCTCTCGGATCCCAATAAAGTGAATCTCGTGGACCGGGTTTCCATAAAGGTAAGTAGGATTGGGTGTGTGGTGTTTGGGAAGCGCAGGGGGAGGGGGGGTGCGGGGGGGGGAGGGGCTCGCAGGAGTGCCAGTTGCTGGAATAGAGTTTTCAATTTTATTTTTTGTGTTATTTTGTTCGTTCCAGATCATCCACAGCCACACCTAAGAAGCCTCCTTTTTCTCTTCCTCTTCTTCTTTTCTCTTCCTCTTCTTCTTTTCTCTTCCTCCTCTTCTTTTCTCTTCCTCTTCTTCTTTCTCTTCCTCTTCTTCTTTCTCTTCCTCTTCTTCTTTCTCTTCCTCTTCTTCTTTCTCTTCCTCTTCTTCTTTTCTCTTCCTCTTCTTCTTTCTCTTCCTCTTCTTCTTTCTCTTCCTCTTCTTCTTTTCTCTTCCTCTTCTTTTCTCTTCCTCTTCTTCTTTTCTCTTCCTCTTCTTCTTTTCTCTTCCTCTTCTTCTTTTCTCTTCCTCTTCTTCTTTTCTCTTCCTCTTCTTCTTTTCTCTTCTTCTTCTTTTCTCTTCCTCCTCTTCTTTTCTCTTCCTCTTCTTCTTTCTCTTCCTCTTCTTCCTCTGTAACCTTTTATCTTTCCTCTTACCTCTTTTTTTTCTCTTCTCTTTTCTCTTTTTACTCGTTTCTCTTTCCTCTTTCCCCTTTTTTTTTCATTTCCTCTTCTTCCACTAGTTGTAATCCGGGTGATCTGGAATGAACAGCCTTATGCTTAGTGACATTGCTTGATACGATTTATCCTTTAGTAAGGAACAACTCCGCATAAAAAATCACTTTCTACAAGCATGGAGATTTTAGACTGAGAAAATTGGGTTAAATTGAGTAATAGTTTTTAAAAATACATAAGAAGGGTTGAAAAAATATATTCATACGTAGCTGGGACGTCTTCGATTTTGAATTCCTCAGGTGTTGATTTTCTTTGCATTTTTCTCTTATGCATGGATGTTGTGTTTCATTTCCGTGACAATATTGGGATTTTATAATATCGATTCAAATCATTTTGTACAAACATACAGTTGATGGCGATGACTAAGGAGGGAGATGTAATTTTCTAATTTGTTATTTGACAGAAATAACAGGATAACCATTTCAGTATCAGTAGTTATGTGAAAGGTTTTGGCAGGGTAAAAAGTACCTCGAAAGTAGCAATTATGATTAAAAACCCTTATTTTCCAGAACTCTTAGACTCTTTAGTTTCCAGAACTCTTAGACTTTAATTTCCAGAACTCTTAGACTCTTTAATTTCCAGAACTCTTAGACTCTTTAATTTCCAGAACTCTTAGACTCTTTAATTTCCAGAACTCTTAGACTCTTTAATTTCCAGAACTCTTAGGCTCTTTAATTTCCAGAACTCTTAGACTCTTTAATTTCCAGAACTCTTAGACTCCTTTAATTTCCAGAACTCTTAGACTCCTTTAATTTCCAGAACTCTTAGACTCTTTAATTTCCAGAACTCTTAGACTCTTTAATTTCCAGAACTCTTAGACTCTTTAATTTCCAGTTCTATTCCTACAACGTCCTACCATCCTTCTTAACCCGATCGCCCATTGACAGGAACCGCGCGTGTTTAATCCTGACGGCGACGTGAGAATAATGGCCGTCGACTGCGGGCTGAAGTACAACCAGATCCGGTGCCTGGTCAAGCGCGGGGCCAAGGTGACGGTGGTGCCGTGGAATCACATCCTGGACTCGGCTCAGTACGATGGTCTCTTCCTCAGCAATGGACCGGGTATGTACTCTAGAGAGATCTTTGGGACAATTTTCTCGTTTGTGGTTCGAGTGATGTATGGGATGAGCGTGGGATATTTCCTCCCTCCCTTTTTTTATACCTCTAAAGTAACAAGTTTCGAGATTACGGAAGGGAATAATGTGGCATTTACTCCCCTACACAGGTGATCCGCAGATGTGCAAACAGACTGTGGAACAACTGCGGTCTGTTCTGGCGTCGGGCACAAAACCTATATTTGGCATCTGTCTAGGGCATCAGCTGCTGTCTGTTGCGGCTGGATGCTCCACATACAAGATGAAGTGAGTTCTTATTAAGGATGTGGTTTGTGATTTCTTCTCCTCCTTCTCCATCTTCTTTTTCTTCAATACCTTTTCCTTCCTTCTCTTCCTTCTCTTCCTCCTTCCTTCCTTCCTTCCTTCCTTCCTCCTTCCTTCCTTCCTTCCTTCCTACCTTTCCTTCCTCTCCTCTCTTAATTTCATTCCTCTTCTTCCTCTCTTCCTTCCTTCCTTCATTCCTTCCTTCCTTCCTTCCTTCCTTCCTTCCTTCCTTCCTTCCTTCCTTCCTTCCTTCCTTCCTTCCTTCCTTCCTTCCTTCCTTCCTTCCTTCCTTCCTTCCTTCCTTCCTTCCTTCCTTCCTTCCTTCCTTCCTTCCTTCCTTCCTTCCTTCCTTCCTTCCTTCCTTCCTTCCTTCCTTCCTTCCTTCCTTCCTTCCTTCCTTCCTTCCTTCCTTCCTTCCTTCCTTCCTTCCTTCCTTCCTTCCTTCCTTCCTTCCTTCCTTCCTTCCTTCCTTCCTTCCTTCCTTCCTTCCTTCCTTCCTTCCTTCCTTCCTTCCTTCCTTCCTTCCTTCCTTCCTTCCTTCCTTCCTTCCTTCCTTCCTTCCTTCCTTCCTTCCTTCCTTCCTTCCTTCCTTCCTTCCTTCCTTCCTTCCTTCCTTCCTTCCTTCCTTCCTTCCTTCCTTCCTTCCTTCCTTCCTTCCTTCCTTCCTTCCTTCCTTCCTTCCTTCCTTCCTTCCTTCCTTCCTTCCTTCCTTCCTTCCTTCCTTCCTTCCTTCCTTCCTTCCTTCCTTCCTTCCTTCCTTCCTTCCTTCCTTCCTTCCTTCCTTCCTTCCTTCCTTCCTTCCTTCCTTCCTTCCTTCCTTCCTTCCTTCCTTCCTTCCTTCCTTCCTTCCTTCCTTCCTTCCTTCCTTCCTTCCTTCCTTCCTTCCTTCCTTCCTTCCTTCCTTCCTTCCTTCCTTCCTTCCTTCCTTCCTTCCTTCCTTCCTTCCTTCCTTCCTTCCTTCCTTCCTTCCTTCCTTCCTTCCTTCCTTCCTTCCTTCCTTCCTTCCTTCCTTCCTTCCTTCCTTCCTTCCTTCCTTCCTTCCTTCCTTCCTTCCTTCCTTCCTTCCTTCCTTCCTTCCTTCCTTCCTTCCTTCCTTCCTTCCTTCCTTCCTTCCTTCCTTCCTTCCTTCCTTCCTTCCTTCCTTCCTTCCTTCCTTCCTTCCTTCCTTCCTTCCTTCCTTCCTTCCTTCCTTCCTTCCTTCCTTCCTTCCTTCCTTCCTTCCTTCCTTCCTTCCTTCCTTCCTTCCTTCCTTCCTTCCTTCCTTCCTTCCTTCCTTCCTTCCTTCCTTCCTTCCTTCCTTCCTTCCTTCCTTCCTTCCTTCCTTCCTTCCTTCCTTCCTTCCTTCCTTCCTTCCTTCCTTCCTTCCTTCCTTCCTTCCTTCCTTCCTTCCTTCCTTCCTTCCTTCCTTCCTTCCTTCCTTCCTTCCTTCCTTCCTTCCTTCCTTCCTTCCTTCCTTCCTTCCTTCCTTCCTTCCTTCCTTCCTTCCTTCCTTCCTTCCTTCCTTCCTTCCTTCCTTCCTTCCTTCCTTCCTTCCTTCCTTCCTTCCTTCCTTCCTTCCTTCCTTCCTTCCTTCCTTCCTTCCTTCCTTCCTTCCTTCCTTCCTTCCTTCCTTCCTTCCTTCCTTCCTTCCTTCCTTCCTTCCTTCCTTCCTTCCTTCCTTCCTTCCTTCCTTCCTTCCTTCCTTCCTTCCTTCCTTCCTTCCTTCCTTCCTTCCTTCCTTCCTTCCTTCCTTCCTTCCTTCCTTCCTTCCTTCCTTCCTTCCTTCCTTCCTTCCTTCCTTCCTTCCTTCCTTCCTTCCTTCCTTCCTTCCTTCCTTCCTTCCTTCCTTCCTTCCTTCCTTCCTTCCCTTCTCTGCGTGTTTCTAAATATCCCTTTCACATTTGCAGATACGGAAACCGCGGACACAACCAGCCGTGCGTGCATGAGGGGACAGGCCGTTGCTTTATCACGTCTCAGAATCACGGGTTCGCTGTGGACGCCGCCTCCCTCCCCCAGGAATGGGCTCCTCTGTTCACCAACAAGAACGACAACTCGAACGAGGGCATTGTTCATCGTACTCTTCCCTTCTTCAGGTTTGGTCACGTCCTGGGGTGTCTTTGGGGGTTGAAAAGGGAGTGTTCTGTTAGTTTTTGAGAGGGTGAAATGTGTGATTACTTTTTTATATCGCCATTTTATAATATGATGATTAGGTTAGGGTAATACGACTTGTTTTTAATTCATTTTAGTTGAATACGTGAGGTTTATGCGAATGTATTAACATAAAAGAGGCCTTCTTTTTTGTAATATTACTGTTTGTAATTTGATACCACATCTGTTTATAATGATACATATTTGTAAATCTGTTCAACTGGTTACTAGTTGAATATGTGGGTTTTATGCACTCCAGTTCTCAATCTAAGAGAGAGATTTATGCACTTCTGTTGTCAACCTAAGAGAGGGTTTTAAGCGCCCCTGTTGTCAACCTAAAAGATGGTTTTATGCGCCCCTGTTGTCAACCTAAAAGAGGCCTTTTCCTTTCTGCAGCGTCCAGTTCCATCCAGAGCATGCGGCGGGTCCGGAAGACTTGGAATCCCTCTTCGACCTGTTTCTCGACCTGGCGCGGCAGAGCGGACGGGGCGTGACCAGGGAGAACTGGGACATGCCGAGTATCATCAACAGTCATCTGGCTTACACGTGCGTTTCGGTATACTTGTTTCGGGGTCTTTATTAACTGAACGGATGTTTTTTTTTCAGTATCGTTTTTGGTATTGATTGAGGGTGTTTGTTTTAGTATTATTTTTCTTGGTGAATGAGTGTTTTTTTTCAATATATTTTTTATTGAATGAGTGCTTGGATTGTTGGTGTCGCATATTGCAATAGATATGAGAGAACAATGATTTGATGTATATATGTGTGTTCCTTTTACATAGAGTTCATCAATAAGCAGTTAACATATTTGATACTGTCTTATAATCTGGACAGGCCCCTCCCAGACGTACCCCAGGCTGATGTGGGTAGAGTTCCCAACAAGGTCCTTATCTTAGGCTCGGGAGGCCTTTCCATTGGCCAGGCTGGAGAATTTGATTACTCTGGTAAGTATTGACACAGTTACAGTATATTATATTGAGCTGGATATCGCAGCGAGTTTCATTAAATTCGTCTTGTATACCGTGCATGCGAGATGACTGATATTTATTTTATTATTCAGGTTCACAGGCAATCAAAGCAATGAAGGAAGAAGGCATCGAGTCCGTTCTCATTAATCCAAACATCGCTACCGTCCAGACAAGCAAGGGTCTTGCTGACAAAGTGTACTTTTTACCTATAACGGCTTCGTATGTTGAGCAGGTAAGGAGGACCTCTCAGATTTCTTTTTTGTTGTAGAAACTCACATTTCTGTAAAAAATAGATCTCTTTATTTATTATCTTTAGGCGACATAAATATTTTACTTCGATTTAGGAAAAAAGAGAACCAGACAATGGAGATCTTACCTATTTACTTTCAGGTAATCAAATCAGAGCGTCCTGACGGAGTACTGCTGACCTTCGGAGGACAGACCGCTCTCAACTGCGGCGTAGAGCTGGAGAGAGCTGGCGTTTGGGCCAAGTATGGGGTCAGGGTCCTTGGGACGCCCGTGACTTCAATCGTCCAGAGTGAAGACAGGAAGATGTTTGCTGAAGTCGTTGCTTCTGTGGGAGAGCGAGTGGCTCCTTCGGCTGCTGTGTATTCTGTAGAGGAGGTGAGGAACCATTCAACATAGAAAAAGTCCCTTTGTTCCATTTTCTTTGCAATAGGTGAAGTGAGGAACCATTCAACATATAAAAAGTCCCTTTGTTCCATTTTCTTTGGAATATTGTCCAAAGTCTAGTAAGGAAAATACGATTTCATGTAAATAATGTCCTTTTTCCCACGTAACATAAACAATATCCTTACCACAGGCCTTAGAAGCAGCAGAAAGGATAGGTTATCCAGTATTAGCTCGGGCAGCATATGCTCTCGGTGGCCTCGGATCTGGCTTCGCTGACACACCTCAAGAGCTTGCGAAATTGGCGACTTCAGCTTTTGCGCATTCTAATCAGCTTATCATCGGTAAGTTTTACAAGTCTGTGCAATTATGCTGGTGTAATTTACCTTGTGGGTCATTATTTAACTGTTCGGAGGTCTCCTGTATATCTGTTTTCAGGTTAATGATTATATGTGGATAAGTTATATTTCATTAATTGCAATTTTGCATATATGACTGCATTGCAAGTATGCTCTAATAACTGTACTGAGAGAAGTCATTAACTTTTATAAATACTCTTAATAAAATTATTCAGTCTGATATACATGTAGTTTCAGAATTATTTCTCTCTTTAACAGACAAGTCACTGAAGGGTTGGAAAGAAGTAGAATATGAAGTTGTACGAGATGCCTTTGATAACTGTATAACGGTAAGTCTTAAAAAAAAAGAAAGAAAGAAAGAAAAATTGCTTTATTCAGGTATTATGGAAATATACATGGTGAACGTTAGCCAGTTTAGCAAATGTGATAATGCGTTTTTAGGTTTTGCAGGATAGGAAATGAATCCCAAGATGTGTGTCCCATGAGGGATGTAAGAACAAGATATTCAATATTGATAAGAAAGATAATTCTGGAGAGACGTTGATGGAAAAACGTCCAAGGAAAGGATTCGTAAAAATCTAAGGGAGTAATCTCAAATAGTTATTGGAGTGGTATTAAAGGTAAAGGGCAACAAAAAATTTAAAAAAGAATAGGGAAGAATTGGTGATACATGAAACGGATTACACGTATTTTTGCTTTTGTTTTGATAATACCTTGTGTGATAATGCACCGAGTGTCGTAAATAGGATTACTCTGAACACGCATGGCTAACACCTCAACCTACATGCAAAGTTGATTGTAAAAATGGCGTGAAAATTATCTAGATTACTGATACGTTATTTTTATTGCTTCACATAAATAAGTCACAGCACAGTGCATTTTGAAGCCCCTATTTTCTTGTATTTTTCAAATTTTATATTTTCAATTTATGTCTTAAAGTCTAAGAGGAATTTATATTTTAAAATCTACTTTACCTTTTTTTTGTGTACTTCCAGGTGTGTAACATGGAAAACGTGGATCCTCTAGGAATCCACACAGGCGAGAGCTTCGTCGTGGCTCCGTCTCAGACCCTGACCAACAGGGAATATAACCTCCTTCGCTCCACTGCTTTGGCTGTTATTAGGCGCCTCGGTGTGGTTGGAGAATGCAATATTCAGTATGCTTTGAATCCCACTTCGGAGGAATATTATATTATTGAGGTACGTAGTGACGAGAAGGGGAAGTAATGTTATGATGTCTTTAATTTCTGAGTTGGTTATTGTGTCTGTGGAAGGATGTTTAGAGATGAGGAATAAGTTTTTCATGTTGGATAGAATTTCGCTCTTGTGTGTACAGTTTGTGTTTCAGATTAGCAGTATCTAATTATATGGGATGTGAACTGAGACGCAGAGAACTTTCTACAGGTAGGTAATTTCTTTTCTTTCCTTCATTTCCCCAGGTTAACGCTAGGCTGTCCCGCTCCTCCGCCTTGGCCTCCAAAGCGACAGGGTATCCTCTGGCATACGTGGCGGCCAAACTCGCCCTCGGGAAAGCCCTTCCAGACCTGACCAACTCTGTCACGGCTTCTACCACCGCCTGCTTTGAGCCCTCGCTGGATTACTGCGTGGTGAAGGTGCCTCGCTGGGACCTCTCCAAGTTCAATAGGGTCTCTACCAAGGTGGGTGAAGAGGCTTGTTCTTTGCTGTTAGAAATGGTGTGCAAATTCTGTAGACTAGTAATCCTGGATAGTTTTTTTTTTGTATTAGTAGGTCTCACGGATCATATTATTTATTTAATATATTTATAGATCACGAATGATAAAATACATGTTTGTATATCACTATCTTCGACCGCCCTAGATTTATTGTAAATGATGCATTACCTTAAATCCTCTGCACTGACAGATTGGGAGTTCCATGAAGAGCGTCGGGGAGGTGATGGGCATCGGCAGGAGCTTTGAGGAGGCGCTGCAGAAGGCTCTGAGGATGGTTGATGAAACAACGAGTGGTTTCGATCCCTACTGTAGTGAAGCAGATGAAAACGTTAGTGGGGTGATCAGTTCCTTTTGTCTTTTCATTTTGAAATGTCAGATATACGTATCCATTAATGAAACTGTAGAAGGAATAGTTATTAATCTTTTCAGGGCAAGTTGTTTTACATAAATATATTATTTATAGGCCATTTTGTTGCTATACGGGTATCTTCGATGGTAAAGCTTTTGTAGCTTAAATGGTTAATGAAAAAAATGGTGAAAAATAAAATGACAAAATCTAATCCCAAATGGACTTAGCAGAGGAGAGGCCATATGCACGACTCCCTTATAAGTTACGCAGATGATAGTCCATACTGCTTATACTTACTATTTTTTTTTAAATGTCTGATCTTTCCTCTCCACAGGAACTCCAGCAACCGACAGACAAACGCATGCTGGTTCTTGCAGCTGCTCTGAAAAAGGGTTGGGACGTTGAACAGCTGTACAACTTGACCAAAATTGACAAGTGGTTCCTCTATAAAATGAAGGTGATTTTTTTTTGTACTGAAATTAAATTGGGCTTGAATAATGAGTATTTTTTAAAATGAATGAGCGAAAGATGATTTTGTGATAGTAGTTAATCCTAATGCATTGATAGAGATAGCATTTCGGATTTGTTTATTGTGAATTAATCGATGATAAATTTGAATCATGATTATATCGAATCTACTAAAGATCAATTTGAACATTGCATATTCTCATTGCCATGTTAATAATTTAAGTCTACAGATCTGATTCTCGCCTTGCCTTTTGTTGCAGAATATCACCGATATGTATGATAAACTAGAGAGCCTCGTTGATGAGGAGCTTACTGAAGAGGTGTTGCAGCGTGCCAAGCAACTAGGTTTTTCTGATAAGCAAATTGGAAATGCTGTTCAATGTACGGATCTGGCTGTGCGTGCGTTGAGGGAGAAGCACAGTAAGTAGAATCAACTTGTTGATTATAATACTTGTTATGGATTTTTTTTGTTTGAATCTTAACTATAGGCCTATCCGTATTATTTTTGCGAAGGAACTGTTTGATTGTTGAGGATTGTCGCAAATAATATTGGCCAAGAGTGAACATTTGATATATTTCTCTTTTGTTTTAAATTCAGGACTATGATTTTTTTTTACCTACAGATATTTGTGCATTTACTATTGTTTAACTTTAATGTTAGTACACTTGTTGTTATACAAAAGTGATTGTATAACTGTATAATAACGTTGATCTATATATAATACGTCATTTTCTGTTTTGTAGACATCATGCCTACGGTTAAGCAGGTTGATACCGTATCTGCTGAATGGCCAGCTGCCACCAACTACTTGTATCTCACCTACAATGGAAACACTCATGACCTCGCCTTCCCGCCCGGTGCCACTCTTGTGATAGGTAATCTGGGCAGTTTTGCTTGTTTTGGGCTTGTTTTAGATCAGACGGTGGTGTGTGAGTGATGTATGGTTGAAGTTACTGGGTTGTGATTGTGTTTTCCTGTCTCAAAATTGAAAGGGAAGTTGGGGTATTTTTTTTCTTTTGAGAAGAAAAGAATTGTTTGTAGAATTAATTGTATAATCTATCATCACTTTTGAGAACTATTCAGTCTGTCTGTCTAACATTTTTAAAAAGCTATTTTGAATTTGTTTGTACATGTTATTCCATAAATTTATTTCCTCAATTTCTCCAATCGTTATATTTATATAGAAGATGGGTTACAGAAATTACAGAATGAAAGGTATTTAATTCATTCTCTTAATTTAAAATCTCCCCCCCACCACACACACAGGCTCTGGTGTCTATAGAATAGGATCATCAGTTGAATTCGACTGGTGTGCAGTGCAGTGCCTCAGGACTCTCCGCAAACTGGGGCATCGGACAATCATGGTGAACTACAATCCTGAGACTGTGTCCACGGATTACGACATGTGTGACCGTCTGTACTTCGACGAAGTGTCCTTTGAGGTTGGTAGTCTGTGCTTCTGGGTGTGACGAAAAATTCATATAGTTGAAAATCTTGTTAGAGTTTGTTAGTGAACGCTTCACGAAAGGACAGTGTATGATAATGTAAGTAGCATTACTTATGTTGTCACACTGTCACTCGTCAGGAAGGACTTGAGTAAATGAGTAACGCAATTTCAGGTTGTGATGGACATCTACAACTTGGAGAACCCCAAGGGCGTGATCTTGAGCATGGGAGGACAACTTCCGAACAACATTGCCCTAGATTTGCACCGCCAGAAAGCCCGCATTTTGGGCACGTCACCCGAGTCCATTGATGGGGCTGAGAACAGGTTCAAGTTTTCGCGTATGTTGGATCGCATTGGGATCTCGCAGCCTCAGTAAGTGCTCATTCGTTTGGTATTATTCCGAAGCAAGGTTGATAATTAGCTTCTGTTTAATTTGGGAATATTTTGTGACTACTAAAAGGATTTCATATGCTTGTGTTGAGACAATCCAACAGGAAATAGTTCCCTATCAAGAAAAAAAAATGTATGGTTATAAAATTAGGAACGCATTGTTAATCCATGACCATTAATACAACCAGCAAGTCTTACTTTACCTTTTATTTTGGCGTTTGTGCTCACCCTGTCCACGCAATCGCCAGATGGAAGGAACTGACCAACCTCAAGTCAGCCCAGGCTTTCTGCGAGGAGGTCGGCTTCCCCTGCTTAGTGAGGCCGTCGTACGTGCTCTCGGGGGCGGCTATGAACGTGGCCCATTCGCCCCAGGACCTAGAGACGTACCTGAACCAGGCCGCGGCTGTTTCCAAAGAGCATCCTGTGGTGATTTCAAAGTTCATTTTGGAAGCCAAGGTAGGTGGTCTTGTTGCTTTAATCAGTGGTTTGTTTAAATGTTGGTTCTGTAGTTTGTTTGCTGGTTTTGCATAGCGCGCCATAACTTATGCCTGGAATCACAATTTGGATATAAGAACATTTAATAACATAGATTCGGCTTCCACACAAAAAGGTGCTCAAAAACATCCCATAATTTAGACACGACTCCCTCATAAAACTTTTTCACAAACACACCGCATAAAATCAGTCCATTCTCCCCCAAGGAAATAGACGTGGACGCCGTGGCCGCCGATGGAGAGCTGGTGTGCATGGCTGTGAGCGAGCACGTGGAGAACGCCGGCGTGCACTCGGGCGACGCCACGCTCGTCACGCCCCCTCAGGATCTCAACTCGGAGACTCTCGCGAAGATCACCTCCATCTGCGCTGCCATTGCCCGGGCGCTGGAGGTGAACGGGCCTTTCAACATGCAGCTCATTGCAAAGGCAAGGATGGTGGATTGTTGTAGTGTGTTGTGATTATGGAGAATGTTTTAATTCCTTCTCTTATTATCCCCCCACATCAGGCTCTGGGGTCTATAGAATAGATCATCATTTGAATTCGACTGGTGTGCAGTGCAGTGCCTCAGGACTCTCCGCAAACTGGGCATTCGGACAATCATGTGAACTACAATCCTGAGACTGTGTCCACGGATTACGACATGTGTGACCGTCTGTACTTCGACGAAGTGTCCTTTGAGGTTGGTAGTCTGTGCTTCTGGGTGTGACGAAAAAATTCATATAGTTGAAAATCTTGTTAGAGTTTGTTAGTGAACGCTTCACGAAAGGACAGTGTATGATAATGTAAGTAGCATTACTTATGTTGTCACACTGTCACTCGTCAGGAAGGACTTGAGTAAATGAGTAACGCAATTTCAGGTTGTGATGGACATCTACAACTTGGAGAACCCCAAGGGCGTGATCTTGAGCATGGGAGGACAACTTCCGAACAACATTGCCCTAGATTTGCACCGCCAGAAAGCCCGCATTTTGGGCACGTCACCCGAGTCCATTGATGGGGCTGAGAACAGGTTCAAGTTTTCGCGTATGTTGGATCGCATTGGGATCTCGCAGCCTCAGTAAGTGCTCATTCGTTTGGTATTATTCCGAAGCAAGGTTGATAATTAGCTTCTGTTTAATTTGGGAATATTTTGTGACTACTAAAAGGATTTCATATGCTTGTGTTGAGACAATCCAACAGGAAATAGTTCCCTATCAAGAAAAAAAAATGTATAGTTATAAAATTAGGAACGCATTGTTAATCCATGACCATTAATACAACCAGCAAGTCTTACTTTACCTTTTATTTTGGCGTTTGTGCTCACCCTGTCCACGCAATCGCCAGATGGAAGGAACTGACCAACCTCAAGTCAGCCCAGGCTTTCTGCGAGGAGGTCGGCTTCCCCTGCTTAGTGAGGCCGTCGTACGTGCTCTCGGGGGCGGCTATGAACGTGGCCCATTCGCCCCAGGACCTAGAGACGTACCTGAACCAGGCCGCGGCTGTTTCCAAAGAGCATCCTGTGGTGATTTCAAAGTTCATTTTGGAAGCCAAGGTAGGTGGTCTTGTTGCTTTAATCAGTGGTTTGTTTAAATGTTGGTTCTGTAGTTTGTTTGCTGGTTTTGCATAGCGCGCCATAACTTATGCCTGGAATCACAATTTGGATATAAGAACATTTAGTAACATAGATTCGGCTTCCACACAAAAAGGTGCTCAAAAACATCCCATAATTTAGACACGACTCCCTCATAAAACTTTTTCACAAACACACCGCATAAAACCAGTCCATTCTCCCCCAAGGAAATAGACGTGGACGCCGTGGCCGCCGATGGAGAGCTGGTGTGCATGGCTGTGAGCGAGCACGTGGAGAACGCCGGCGTGCACTCGGGCGACGCCACGCTCGTCACGCCCCCTCAGGATCTCAACTCGGAGACTCTCGCGAAGATCACCTCCATCTGCGCTGCCATTGCCCGGGCGCTGGAGGTGAACGGGCCTTTCAACATGCAACTCATTGCAAAGGCAAGGATGGTGGATTGTTGTAGTGTGTTGTGATTATGGAGAAAGTTTTTTTTCTTTTTGTTGTGAATACAAAAAATATATTTCTCTTTTTATTCTCTTTAGAATCTGGAGAAATAGATGAAGTGTTTCGTATTTTTTTTTATGAATTTGAATTCGTTAAGAAGTCTATCCATTATACAATATTGGCAGTAGAGAGTATGAAGTAAACCTAAAGCTTCGTTAAATCCACATTAATACCATTAAGGTATTTAAATTCGTGTGTGTTCGCGTCCACAGGATAATCACCTGAAAGTCATCGAGACCAACCTGAGGGTATCTCGATCTTTCCCCTTCGTCAGCAAGACGTTGGACTTCGACTTCGTGGCTTGTGCGACCAAGGTGATCGTTGGGGAGAAGGTGGCCGCTACGGATGTGTTACGAGGCTGCGGCAGAGTCGGAGTCAAAGTGCCGCAGTTTAGCTTTTCTCGTCTGGCCGGTAAGTGTATCGCTGTTGGAAGAACGTGTAGGTGAAAGGTGAAATAGCATACTGCATACGACGAAGGGAATTTGTAACCATTTTTGTTTTATTTACCGGTATTGAATAAATTTCTCTCTTAAAATTTCAGGCGCAGATGTTATGTTAGGTGTAGAGATGGCGTCCACGGGCGAAGTAGCTTGCTTTGGGGAGAATCGCTACGAAGCCTACCTGAAGTCCATGATTTCTACGGGCTTCGTCATTCCCCAGCGCTCCATTCTTCTGTCTATTGGTAGCTACAAGGTAGGGCTTGAGAGTTCAAAAATAACACAGAATTGGAGATCACAGACCTTTAAATATATGCACAAAAAATTATTAAAAAAAAACTGAAATAGCATTAAAAATACTACGACATAAGCATATCACACGTACTTTCAGCACAAGAACGAGTTGCTTCCGGCGGTCAGGACACTGGCACAGATGGGATACAAATTATACGCATCTTTAGGAACAGCTGACTACTACTCAACCCATGGCATACAGGTAAAGTGCAGCATTATTTACAGCATGACCATTCGTAGGTGGATGCGGTAAGTCGTTGTGTAAAGCAGGTATCTGTTATATTGCAATATTAATAGGACTTTAAACGAAGAAAATTAAGATATAATTAGATTAATTAACTGGAGAGGTAATATTCTCATGCCATATGTTCTATACGTATCACAAAGTGAATGATATTGCATTGCAATGTTAACCACCAGAAAACACTTCTTTAGGTACTGTCATGTTATTAAAATGATTTTTTTTTATACCACTTATGATACTATTGTTTCAAAGGCTTATAAAAGGCGATATAACAAGGATAGCATTTTTTTTTATTTCTAATAATTTACAGTATTTACAGATTCAATATTTATACATTAAATCAATAACTAGTTTATATCATTAACTTAAAGATCCATCGATGATCACTACCGTTTGTGTGCGCCTTTGAAAGTAGTAATTGTTGTAATGAATCTTTAAAACTTGTAAACCAGAAGCATAACATTTAGTTGTCAGCCGCAGTTATGAGGAATAAGTAATACAAAGGTTCATTAGCATATATAAAAGAATAAATGGTGTTCATAAGTATTAGACAAGAGAAAAAGTAAAAAAAAAAAAGAAACTAACAAAAATGGATGCCATTTTAATATGGATACTATATTTGAGTAAGAGGGAATATATATACACATCTTTTAATTCTTTATTAAATAAAGGAAGTTCAGCTCATTAATCATCTCGTGTAGATACCAAGTTCATTAGTTTCATATAACTGTTGTTATAAGAGTGACAACTGGTAACTTCTTATCACATACTTCTATGATTTCTGTGCCACCGTGAAAGTACCTTTCGATTAGTATGCTCAAACGTGATCTGCTAGCGTATGCATAAACACAGCTTTATTACTGAAGTGGGAAAGGCAGGATCCCACTTCTGCCACACTGCACTCGAGGAAACTCGTTCCCGCAGCGGCCTTAGAGGTCCGTCGACGCCTCCTCCTCGTCCTCGTCGGAGAACACGACGATGGCCGAAGGGTCGTGGAGCACATTGGGGTTGTTCGTCGCCGACTGGGTTCTCTCCCTCGTCAGGCGCATTGTGTCGGGCAGCGAGTCGTTGCTTTCACTTTGTGTTACTTTCATCTTGTTCGCCTGTGGGAGTTCGTTCAGGTTGTCCACCAGTCCGCCGAGATTTTTCTTCGTCAGCTTCAGGCCCGACACGGGGGAAGCCCTCATAGGGGGCGACGGCAGAGGCTGCTGCTCCTTCTTGAGCTCCCAGTTGGAGCCGCGTAAGTTGGGGTTACCCAGCATGAGGTCGTGAGTGTCGGTCATGCCCCACGACGACCCCAGCATGTCCTTGACGCCCCCTCTGGAAGCCACGTTCAGCTCCTCGATCTCTCTGTTGAACACCTCCGCTTCTTGTCCGTGGCCGGTCTCCTCCATCAGCGTCGCCATGTTGCCCGCTAGCAGCAGGTACATATATGCCTGAGGGTACGCCCGGTACTTGTTGGAGGCGCGCGCCATGCCGATGAAGTGCTTGGCGAACAGGCTGAGGACCTTGCCGGCGCGGAGGTCTTTGACACAGTGGATTTTGGCCCTGAGGTTTATGGTCGAGCGCCGCCTCTTCTTCCTCTGGTCGTCCTTGGAGGAGCGCTGAGCGGCGAGCTTCCGCTGATGTCGAAGGGCGTGGAGTTGCTCCTGAAAGTTGAAAGGGAGTTGATGGTTAAACTTGCTGGCATATCTGTATTCATGCACGAAGAATGTGCATAGTTTTCTCACAGATGTTAAATCGGAAACTCGGACAAACCTTCATATCTTGATGTGCTCTTTCTTCTTCGGAGTCGCTGTAGAGAACGTCTTCGCCTTCGTCAAGCTTTTTAATTTTTCCCTGAGAAAAGACAGGATGCATCAGCCAAGCGTCGCAAAGGCAGTATACACCACATAAAAGTAGAACCAGAAACAGCGAAACAGATGTGTTAATACTAAAGGGGATTTCCAGTCTACATTAGGAACGAGATTTCAAGATTCCCTTACCGAAGACACGCCTTCTTCTCCCATCTCGTCCAGGGCATCGTCGTCTGTCAGTCCCAGAAGCGCAGGATTTATCTGTCCAATGCTAAATGTCTTAGGGAGGAGAAGCTTGTAAAGTTCGCGTACATCGAGCATCGGGTAGAAATCTTCCTCGGTACGAATCCGCAGCATAGTGTGCATCATGTAAATTGGAAGGTTGTCTTTCATGTTCTTCACTAATGCCTGGAAATACAGAGTATGAAATCAAGGCATGGCGGTTTAGTGGAACCGTACATATGTCCATGTAATTATTCCATGCCCAAGATACATGCTCGAGAAAGTTTCATGAGACATATTGTTTAATCGGTGTCCTTGCCATGCTCAAGAAAGCTCTAAAAAACAAATTCACCAAAAACCGATTTCTTCCTTTTACCTGAACCTGTCTCAAGTAGCGCTCGGGTATGGTCTCCAGCATGTTGCACTTGTCGATGAAGTAATGAGGGAGGTGTTCGGTGGAGAGGCAGTTGTAGAGCGTCTTGAAATAGGCCTTGAGTTTGTTGCCGAGCCTCTCTTCCTGCCAGTCCCTGAAGTTGTGCTCACACATCCAGTATAAGATGAACCGGAGATGCTGTGTCTTGAGGCCGGGGATTTCCTGCAGGTGGTCCCGCAGGAGGAACTCGACCAGGAGGAGCAAGCGGACCTGGGAGGGAGATTTTTTTTGAGATGGGGAAAGGGAGATTTTTTTTTTTGAGATGGGGAAAGGGAGAATGAGGGAGAGGGAGGAGGAGTGGAGGGGGAAGAGGAGGGAAGAGAGGGAGAGGGAATGGAAGGGGGGGAGGAGGAAGGAGGAAAGAGAGGAAAAGAGAGAGATAAGGAGAAAGGAGAGGGAGAGAGAGAGAGAAGGGGGAGGGAGGAAAGGGAGAGGGAGAGGGGGGAGGAAGGAGAGGAAGAGGAAGAGAGAGAGGGGGGAGGAAGGAGAGGAAGAGGAAGAGAGAGAGGGGAGAGGATGAGAAAGAGAGAGTGGGGGAAAGGAGAGGAAGAGAATGAGAGAGAGGGGAGAGGAAGAGAAAGAAAGAGAGGGGGGAGGAAGGGAGGAAGGAAGAGGAGAGGAAGAAAAAAAAGAGGTAAAAAAGAAATACGACTTTAGAATTTAGAAGAAGGGGAATTTAGAAGATCTAACTGTTTCTATCTCCATTCGGAGTCAAATCTTAAATACAATAGAATCACACCCACCCCGAAAAACACCCCCCACACCCACTCCCACTCCCACACCCACACCCACACCCACACCCACACCCACACCTACACCCACACCCACACCCACTCCCACTCCCACTCCCACACCCATTGCCAAAGCTAACCTGCGAGTGACCAAGACTCCTCAGGAGGATCTGTTCGGCCTTGTTGAACTGAATCTGCCACTCCATCTTCATAACGACGTTGGGCTGCGAGGGCCTGTAGTGGCCGATGGGGACGAGGTTACAGCCGGTGTTCACGACTTCGTTGATGGTCGAGTACTTGGGCCATCTGAGGGGGGAAAGAGGTCGTTGGGTGTTAGAGGGTTGGAAAGGGGGAGAGGGTTGTTGGGTGAAAGGAAAGGGTTGTAAAGAGGTTGTTGGGTGTTAGAGGGGTTGTAAAGGGGGAGGTTGTTGAGCGAAAGGGAAGGGTTGTAAAGAGGTTGTTGGGTGTTAGAGGGGTTGGGAAGGGGAGGTATGATGGAATTATGTATGCAATATATATTTATATGTAAAGTAAACTCAAGCTATTAATAACTTTGAAATTCATACTGATGATTAGCACGGTTATTGTAAAGGATTATTTTGGAAGAGACGAGATTTGTTAGTGGTGATAAGTGTTGCTGTAATTTGAGCGTTTTTAAGAGAATGTTTTACTGTAATTTGAGGGTTTTTTTAAGTGAACACGCGGTCTGTCGGAGGCGGCAGCGAGACGTACCTGTATAGGGTCTTCGTGGACGGGTCGGCCCTCGGCTTGCGGTCCCGGAGCTTCCACTCGAAGGCGCAGCGAGGCCATTCCTTGTGCAAGATTGTGGGGATAAACTCGGTGTTGAACTTGGGACCGATCTGTTGGCGGGAATTGGGGAACGATCAGGACGAGGTGGTTAATTTTATATGTTGTTTAGATTTAGAATTCATTGATTATATTGGTACTGGTAATGCTGGACACTTACCCCATCAATCATTAGTTCACTGGCAAGGATCGCGGGCATTTGCACTTGGCTGGAATCCACTAGGTGCTCCTTCCCCATAATCTTAGCCAGGGTCTCGAAATCCTCTTCAAAGCATTCCATGTATCTTTCGGAGGAGAAGTAAGTCCTGAGTTCGCTGCGCGCCTTGATCCCGTACGCGTCGTTTTCCACGCGCAGCCGAATCTTGCAGTTCATGAAGCAGCCTGTGTTGATCGAGGCGTGCAGTCTGACCTCCTCCTTCGGTTTCTCCGCGACTGATTCTTCGGCTCCCTTGTCGGGGAAGTCTTCAATCGTGGGAGCCTCCTGGTGCGCCTTGACGTCGCTCAGGCTGCTCTTCTCACTCTGCGAGTCGTCCTCGTCCTCCTCTTCGCTGCCCTCCTCGATCCCCGCCAGAATCCGCTTCAGCGCACTGAAATTGTCACCGCTGCTCTGAAGTTTCCTGTGCTGCTCTGACGTGATCTTGAGGCGGTCCATATTCGGGTTCATCTTGGGGAACACCCCGCTGGGGCGCCGCTCCGTCAGTGGCCGAGGGCCGGGCTTGGGGTTGGGCGGGCCCTTATTGGTCAGGATCCCGGCCTTGATGATGCCGTTAGGCCTCTTCGGCGGGTTCTGTTTGGAAATCCTTCCCGTCGGGTAATTGAATGGCATAACCCCACTCGGCCGACGGCCCAGGAGGTGCATGGGAGGCCTCATGGGCTCCCCGTCGAAGGTATCCTCCTCCTCCGCCTCCGCCTCATCTTCGTCCTCCTCCGATTCCTTGTCTTCCTTCTTTTCCTTTTTCTCTTCGTCCT